GTTTTGAATTCCCCCTCCTCAAAGATTTCAATTTGATGGAAACAGTTCAGACCATAATATTTTGTTTCAGAACAAAATAATCATCTCGGGGTGATGCTTTTTATTTTATTTGTTTTTATGGCTTATCAAAACATCATTTGCGAATGAATATTACATTAAAATATTTGAAGAATAAGAATATTTTTTTCAGATATAAGTCCTACTATTTAATCCGTAGCTGGGGGAGGAGATGGTTTCATACCTTTCCCAAGAGTATTTGTGCGTAAGAGAATGTAAAGAGGTCGACTTTAATTTGACTCGGGTTTTTCATTGTCATATACTACGAAGTTATGGTGGACATATTATAAATGAATCTTTATGTGCCTTGGCCTCAGCGATGAGTTCTTCATCAAAGTTTGAGAATTACATCTTATCCGGTAGAGTGTTCAACAAACTGTATCTTTGTTCACTCCTGTGCCACTTGTTTGCCGATCCAATTGTAAGTTCGCCTCGTGTACTTAACTAATGTGGTCGATCATGACTCTCCACAACATCCTGTTTTTTTTTTCTCTAAGTAACTTCTGACGCTTTAACATCCTGCTTTGTCCTCGTTCTGCTATTAATTCACACAAACTGGTTAAGTAGATTACTCACTGTTACTCTCTGCCTTTAATGTGCCTTGTGAGTGTTAAATACTCCTGACTTTCTTTCCGCATTATGCATCCCAGAAATTTCAACTCGCTTTATGATTGTAACGTTGTCCTTCTTGCTCCTTTCTTCATTAAAAAATATTCGTGGATCATATGCTATCTCTGTAGATTTCTTAGCATTCTTAAGTCGTACCACATCTCTGTCGCTCCAGGCCAATTCTTCATTTGTAAGTAGACCGTCCAACATTTACTGTCATATAATGGAATAGTTACGACATATCACTTCAGAAATTTCAAAGACAGTCAGACTTGTGGGCTTTTTACGACGTGTACACCGTTACTTTTTTAACGACAGTTCTAAATAGTGTGGATGGTCCTATACAAGCCTTCACCACTTCATTGTATTGGTTTTCTGACAAATACATCTAATATATATATATATATATATATATATAATGACAAGAGGAAAATATTCTTGGCTGACGCGTTTCGTCCTCTGAGGGACTTTATCACAGCATTTGTGTCTTGATAGAAATCCCTCAGGGGACGAAACGCGTCGGTTAAGAATAGTTTAGAATAGACGTCAATTGGCAAGGAAAGGGTAAAGACTTCGAGAAAGGGAAGATAAAAAAAACAAAATGTAAAATTATTTACATTCGGATAATACTCCTCATCTTTGTTGTCATCTCAACGTTTCGGCCGTTGTGCTCTCCGGCCATCATTAGGTGTATATTGATCGAGGTAACCTACAAGGCATTCTGAACTGAACCTTTTATTTAATCTACGGCGATAGGATATCTCGTCTAGTACTACTTCTTAATACCACTCAGTAACTGCGCACCTGTTTCCATGAGCCCAAGTACACACTGCCTGTCCCAAGGATTGAACCTACAATTAATATGTTACCAAATTAAAAAAAAACAAGGTTTTATATCCACTATGCTATTGTCCTGTAGAACTGTTTCTGGATCGATATACACCTGATGAAGGCCGGAGGATACAACGACCGAAACGTTGTGATAACAACGACATATATAAGGACAATAGTCCGAATGTAAATAGTTAAATAATAACTTCTTACTCCATAAATCTCTGACAGAAAAGATATAAAATGTTTGATTTGTTTTTACGGTTTATCAACCCTTTATATGTTATTTAAAGTCGAAATATATTTTGGGTTGTAAGCAGAATTCTTTTTTGTGAAATATTACAATGATTTTTCCAGATAACAACTATTTAACCTATGTCTGGGACACGTTATATATTTATGCCTTTTACAAAAGTATTTACACGTAAATGAATATGACAAACTTGACTGGAATTCGAACTCAGCATTCTGATATGTCATTTCGATCCGTTATCCATTCCACCAGTCGCATATTCCAGGTGTAAAAAGACGCATCTTTTCAAATATTCAAGATATGTCAATGAAACCGATCTACATTTAACAGGTACTTCGATCGTTTTGAAAGGAGGAAACAAATCATTTATCTACCAATACTTTCCCTCCCCAACCTTTGCGTATTCGCAAAGATTTGTCAATATCCTTGCTAGGAAGCTTAGGTGTTCATAGAATAAATGCGATCTTATTGTAAACGGTAAGTTTGATAGGAACTGAGTCATTTCTTTGATGCAAGGAAAAATTGTAAGTCTGTTTAAGGTTTGGTAAAGAAAAACAATTACATTTTCGATAATGGTAACCACTACTTCACTGTAGATTACTTTTTCGGTCGCGTGCCATATTACGGTTTTTACGGAGTAATAAGAATTCTACATACAGACTAACATTAATTTAGATATATTAATAGATAATATTGCACAAAGAATTGCTGTTTTATATATTCAAAGAAAATGCAAGTGAATCTTGCAGCCATCTCACGTGTTTATAAGGAAATTTATTTATAAAGTTAACCGTGTTCATGTGTGCGTGAAAATGTGCTCGTATGCAAATAATGATACACTTACACGTATTGTGTTTATATCAGTATGCATCTGTCGTGTTACTTGTTTAGTGTATATATATATATATATATATATATATATATATATGTATGTATGTATGTGTGTGTGTGTGTGTGTTTGTTTCTTGGGTGGATGTGTATGCCTGTGTATGTATGTATGTATGGGCACAGATATGCTTACAAACATGAATGCGTTAAATTATATCGAGAATGGATCGAAAAATCTGTAATCTGATTCTTAATTATTTTTGTAGTTTTGATCGGAAATTTTCACTGTATAATGTTCGATCTATGTGATAAACAGAGAATCGTTGAATGAAGTGCATTGTCAAGGAAAGAAGTCATATTAAAAATAATTATTCGATAGAATAGATTCTTTTTCATCATTAGGCTACAGAATCATTGATGTACATATACACACACATACATACAGGCGCACACACTCACGCACACACACACAAACATATATATATGTATATATATATATATATATATATATATATATATATATATATTTTAAAATTGAACACATAAACGTGTTATAAAATCATTACAAAAAAGAGTCATTTTGTTTCAACATTTCTGGTGTCTTCTCAAGCGATAGTGTTGAATGACTAAACACCATCACTTGGGAAGACAACAGGAATGTTGAAACAAAATGGCTTTTTTTTTTTGTGATGTTATAACATGTTTATGTGTTTAATTTTTAAACAAATAATATTTTCTTTACTCGGTATTGAGCACTCTTTTAAATAATATGGTTTTGGTTACTGGAATTTTATTCCGTCCCCACCAATCATATACTTGGATATGTATATATATATATATATATATATATATATATATATATATATATATATATATATATATATATATATATGTCTGTGTGTGATAAAATATAGTTTTATGTTAATTTATATTAATGAGTAAAACTGCTCAATATATATATATATATATATATATATATATATATAGAGAGAGAGAGAGAGAGAGATAGACAGATAATATTAGTGGTCAATATATATATATATATATATATATATATATATATATATAAATTCCCAAGAGGATAGAATCCAGGTAGAATTCAATGTCCAGGACAGAGTAAGAATCTAATATAAAAGGCTCAAACGCTAATATTCCATGGTTATTATTTATTACATTGGAATCGTAATCATGATCCAATTCATCAGACCTACAAATTCAAAAAGAAATTGGAAAATATAACTCCGGGTATAATTTATTAGTGGTCAATTTATACCCGGAGTTATATTTTCCAATTTCTTTTGAAGTTGTATGTCTGATGAATTGAATCGTAATTACGATTCCCTATGTGATAAATTATAATCATGGAATATTAGTGTTTGAGTTTTATATATATATATATATATATATATATATATATATATATATATATATATATATATATATATATATATATATTGCATGAATTTTGTGATTTACTCTGTGCATGTACTCAGGTGGAGATAGTGGACGGCCAATTGTAAACGTGCAAAGAATTCCACTTTTGCGCATAGAAATAATGGCGGAAGCCCAAATTCGAATTGGAGTGACTAACAATGTTTTCTGCATCATCTGTGGAATGGAGATATTCTGGAAATGAAACCAATATATTCTGCAGAAAAGTTTTTTTACATCTTTATCCACCATCTTCCATCAACCATCTTTTTTTTTTCTACTGTAGAGAATTTCAGCCTTTAATACTTTTGTGAGTATGCTTATTTATTTGCTTTTTTCTTTCTTTCTTTCTTTCTTTCTTTCTTTCTTCCTTTCTTTCTTTCTTCCTTTCTTTCTTTCTTTCTTTCTTCCTTTCTTTCTTTCATTCTTTCTTTCTTCCTTTCTTTCTTTCTTCCTTTCTTTCTTTCTTTCTTTCTTTCTTCCTTTCTTCCTTTCTTCCTTTCTTTCTTTCTTCCTTTCTTTCTTTCTTTCTTTCTTTATTTATTTATTTCTTTCTTCCTTTCTTTCTTTCTTCTGTAGAATTTCTTTTTCTTATTCTTTATAAAAAACTTCCTGATTTATAATAATAATAAATGACAGGTTTATAAACATTATCATCAGTTGCAGTACTTACACTACGACTACAAAACCCTACCTGTTATTTCCCCAGGAAGATCAATTGAAAGTTTTTTTTTACGGTTTATCAACCCCTTGCAGGATTTTAAACCTAGAAAATATTTTTTAGATTTTTGATAAATTTTTTGTAGATGATAATGATTAACTGATCCATCTCCTACTAATTAACCCGTAGCTGGGGGGAAGAGCTGGATTCATACCTCCCCCAATGTTATTTGCATATAAGTGAATATATCAAACCCAACTGAAATTGGAACTCACACCTCAGAATTTTTAATGTCGTGCCTTTATTCATTACACCATCCGCACATCCAAGATTACTGCACCTGGTTTTCCCAAGCGTTCACCCATCTAGGTTCTGACCAGGCTCAACGTTGCTTAACTTCGCTGATCATACGGAAACTAGTGTTTCAACATGATGTGGCCATAAGCAAGAACAAGATAATCATTGTTTTTACTTTGGAATTTCGTTTAATAAATAGCCGTGTCCGGGGAGATTCTAAGGTTGCTGGCACTATTTCATCAATACACTGGCATATATATATATATATATATATATATATAATAAAAATATTAATGGTCAGTGTTGAATCAGACCAGGAAACAGTAGTATTAAAAAGTGCTCAATGCACGTATGAAAATATAAAAATTTAACACGTAGAGCTTTTAGGTATAAAATTATGTGTGTTAGAAGGGGAGGAGGAGAAGAAAAGCAAGTGTATTGGAAATGTATCGGTGGGTGCTTAAATGAAATATACATACTTTCTTTTCATTCCAAGTCATATGAACTCAAAAGAAACATTTTAGAATGTATGCAACGGGTCATAATTTCCGATCTCTCATTCAAAAGGTCTTGTTGTTTGGAATTGTTATTATAGCTAACTTTTCTTGTTGAAAAAAAGGTTGCAGGTATTACTATGATCGTTGTAAGATTAGGATTTTCTTTTTTAGTTTTCCAGTTTACAATCGGATCTTTTTTATTTTGTTTCCTTTAATTTGTTTGGCTTGTTTAGTAAGACTTTCTAGCTTGAAAAATGATTGTGATTTAACCAGCTCTTCAAATAGTTACCTTCAAGACACGCTGCTATAAATAATATAGCGCTCATTAAATTTTAAATAAACCATTAGGAAATCAAAATAGTCTAAAGATACCAAAAGTTTGAAACCGAGGTAGCGGAAACGGCTGATCTCTTAATTGTGTACACACACACACACACACACACACACACACACATATATATATATATATATATATATATATATATATATATATATATATATATATATATATATACGGAAACAAAGAATAAACCTCTACTGTTGCATGTTAAAAACACTGATACACACACACACACACACACATATATATATATATATATATATATATATATATATATATATATATATATATATATATAAATATATATTAAGAAATGGACAAAGTCCGACAATTTATTTATTAAAGACATTTTATATTTTAACGTTCTTTTTATAGATACAAGTATTTAAGTAAATGTTCTATTTATAATAAACAGTATTAAATAACATTTACATTCAGGTCGGTAAATGTTATTTAATACTGTTTATTATAAACAGAGCATTTACTTGTATCTATAAAAAAGAACGTTAAATATATATATAAATATATATAAAAGTGAACATAGAAGTCAACACTTAGAGGCGACAGTCTGTTTCATGCTAGATGCAATCGTCAGACTATATATATATATATATATATATATATATATATATAAAAGTGAACATTGAAGTCAACACTTAGAGTCGACAGGCGACAGGTTTCATGCCTGACGATTGCGTCTAGCATGAAACAGTCTGTCGCCTCTAAGTGTTGACTTCAATGTTCACGTTTATATTTACACATGCTCTATCTCTGATATTGAGCACTTTATCCCATAAATATAGAACAACTTAAGACTATATTTCTTCATATATATATATATATATATATATATATATATATATATATATTTAGTAGTAGTAGTAGTAGTAGTATTACTTCAAACGTAATTTTTAGTCGATACTCGTATTTCAGTTTTTAAACAATGTTTATTTCGCCTCGAGAAATCGATTAAACCTTTAGAAACATATAAATATACATGATTCGCTGATGCTAACCTAGAGGTGAGTGAATGATTGAGGTTTTTCGGGCTAACAGGAAGTGAAAACATTATATTGGGTGAATTGTTAGTCAGCTACTAGGAAAGTTGGTTCACTCTGTCGTGTTAGACAATTATTTTCGCCTGAATTTTACATATTTATAAGTGTGCCATTCGTCCATGCCTTGAATATTACTACATATGGCCTTGTGCACCTGCAAAATATTTATAGACCCTCGACGAAATCCAGAAAAAAATCTGCAATGTTATTGATCCTGACCTGGCATCTCCTTTTCAGTCACGTTCCCATCGCTGTTATGTAGCTTCCCTCTGCCTTTTCTATAAATACTATCATGGTAATTGTCCTGTTGACCTCTCCGCTATGATACCTAGGCTTTATGAATTTAGGCACAGTGCTAGATTGGCGGAACGGTCTCATAATTTTACAGCTGAAATGGCTTGATCTAAATGAAAGTTCTATGCTAACAGTTTCTTCTTTTGCACTTCTCGCTTGTGGGAATTCACTTTCGACATCTTGCTTTTCAATCAACTTTAAATGCAATGTCAATCGTTATCTTCTTGATTCCCGTTCCTTTATTGTTCTCGCTCCTTAATAATGTTTCTCTTTTTCTTACATTCTTTCACATACTGTAACCACATGTGTTTTAGCGGCTTTATTGCCTTACTTGCAGTGAAATGATTTAAAAATGAATATATATATATATATTTAAGTTATGAAGGACATGGTAATCCGTATGAAATCCTGAGAGCTCAATGTAAATCCAGAGCTAATATTTAAAAGAAAAACAGACCACTTTAAGGTACCATTATAATAATTTATTTCACCAGAGCCCTTTTAAAGGATGCCGGGTCATCAGATAGCACTTCCCAAAATGAAATGAATCGAAAAATTAAATTAAAATTGATGGGTAGTGTAAGTTTTTGTAATTTAACAGAGAGTGTAAAAGAAGTAGTTAAAAAGACATGGTAGAGTATAGGGAGGGTTTAATTTCATATCTCTCTCAAGCATACTTTGTATTGGCGGAGGAAGAGCGATCAGACCTTTTCTTTTAAATATATATATATATATATATATATATATATATATATATATATATATATATATATATATAATGATAAGAAGAAGACAAATACATTAATTATCCATTTCGTTTATAAATTTTATTTCGTGAACACCGAGATGTTCAACTCATCAGAACGAAATCTCCGCAAATGAAGAAAGTACACCGGACGGACACATTAGACATTAGATTGGCAAATTAATTTAATGAAAGAGATCTTAATCCCAATAAAAGTCAGTAATAATATATATATATTGAAATTACTGACCTCATATTTATTAAAATTGTAATATAATCTAGTTTAAAAAGAAAAAAGAAAGAGCAGGAAGACATTAAGACAAAACTTTTAAGATGCTCTGGCGAGAGAAAATTCAGCAGTTTCGGTTGAACAATTATTATCGAGTACTTACAAGCAAACCGAATATTGAAGAAGCCATATCCAAAGAGAAACTACAAAAGCAGGTATGCCAGATCATATCTGAAGAGAAGTTCCTACAATTCTCTTTCTGAAATGAGGTCGATATAATTTGTAAGGAACATCATTAGTGATCGAGAAGACTGATTGAAGCAGTAGATATCAATTTGTCAGATTTGTTAAGTCAGGCCAGTTTCAATGTCACGGGAACTGGAGAACAATCTGCCATCTAAATTCGAATCGCTTATGATACATTTCTGTTTATAAATTATATCATCTATGTGGCTCTCATTGCTGGAAATATACTAAACCCAGTTGATATATTTTCATATTGGATAGAATATGACCACTTTTTACATGTCGTATATGTGTGCTTAGCCTAGAACCACTGGCCATCTGTAGTAGTTACTACTTCTATTCAAAATGATCCAAGGACGAGTGTCGGCGTGTGTCACTTTGATTACTAAGAACACAGATACGACAATGACGCTAGATATAGGAATACGGGTGATACTTTGATTCTGAACAGACGCAAAACACTTTGATCAATACGTCATTTTTTTCCGTGTACTTTCTTAGAGGATTGCCTTTATATGTAATTTTTTTTTCGGATACTCTCTTAGCGGATTGCCTTTATACGTCATTTTTTTCCCAGCTACTATCTTAAAGGATTGCCTTTATAGTCAATTTTTCCGGATACTATGTTAGAGGATTGCCTTTATACGTCACTTTTTCCGGATATTATTTTAAAGGATTGACTTTATACGGAAATTTTTTCCGAATACTATCTTAGTGGATTGCCTTTATACGGAAATTTTTTCCGGATACAACCTTAGAGGATTACCTTTATACGTCACTTTTTCCCAGCTACTATGTTAAAGGATTGCCTTTATACATAGTTTTTTTTCCGGATACTATCTTAAAGGATTGCCTTGATATGTCATTTTTTCCCCAGTTACTATCTTAAAGGATTGCCTTTATACGTCATTTTTTTCCCAGTTACTATCTTAAAGGATTGCCTTTATACGTCATTTTTTCCGGATACTATCTTAGAGGTCTACAATGGATCTTTTTTTTTCTTCTCCATAATTTGTCATTTTTAGATAAAATTAAAACTGCGAACATTATAAATTCTTTCTATTATTTAGCGTTTTCGCTCTGTTCTATATCCATTGTATGTAATACGAAAGTAACGCCACAAACGAAATAAGAGGCTATGGTGGATACACTTCCAGAAGTGGAGTTACTGCTTCTGTTCACATTTTAGTTTATATTTATGTCCGTGAGATTAACAGAAAAATTCTCTAATCCGGTGGTTACTGAATTTAATAGGTTTGAAATCTGAGATATTTCTTTCCTTAAAGTGAGTGCTGTAGAGTATTTAGGTGTTATCTACTTGTATTTGTCTCATGTTGATAGTTGTACTTTTGCCGTTCATGATGTGCTGGTCGACGTGTGCACGGATTGCACTGACATTCGACAGATGACAGGTGAATCTACGAGAAAGTGTGGTGCATGTGTTCCCTGTGTTAATGTTGTTCTGACGATTGCATCCAGCATGAAACCGCCTGTCGCCTCTAAGTGTTGACTTCTATGTTCACTTTTATATTTACACACGCTCTATCTCTGATATTGAGCACTTTATCCCATAAATATAGCACATCTTAAGACTATATTTCTTCATATATATATATATATATATATATATATATATATATATATATATATATGTTGGGGATGATACAAATATAGTTTTAATGCATATTATATTCCTGTATACATTGATGATTATCAGAAATAGAGCGTACGAAAATAT